TTACAACTTCCTAAAAGACTCTCACCATATTCTAAATGGACTTAACAAATTTCTAAGTAATTAAAAGTGCACTGCCATTATTATTCCAATTCCAATGCATGTGAGCAATTTCCAAGTTGTATGCTTCCTCTCGCATCAGTACTACATTTGTGTCATATATGTTTTCATTGACTAAGGAGAAAAACTTGCACACCTCACTACCTTATTAGTCACACAATCAAATAGTTTAATTTAAAGGTTTGAATCTAAAATGTTCGAGTTTATACTAGCTTCATGCCTACTCAAATTTTTCTTTGTTACAATTAGATTGAATTGAATATTTGCCAATCTGAAAAAATACACATCTTCCCAATCTAAACTAAGAAAAGTATTGGAGAGCTAACTGGAATACAGGATCAGTGAATCTCTAAGATAGACTAAAATCAAAATTTAAACAAAGGGTTGTAACAAAACTATTAAAAGTAAAGGAAAAGTTCATATTTACAAATTTAAAAAGGGGAAAAAGTTTAAGAAGTGCGTAGTGTTGCTTTTTCATTTCATACATTTGTTTTTCCTCTGTCGCTTTTCCTTTCCTTCTTCCTTTTGGTTTGAGAAAGTTCTCAAGTGAAATTTATTATTCTTTGCAATCATCGTTAGGCCTTATTCCAGTCAATATAAATATATAATTAACACCGTACCATAATGCAGATTGCATTATATATGAATGCAGTTTATGTGACCCATTAGTTGGGGAACTGCTAATAGTTTATACATAATTTAACATCAAATTAATATTTATTCATTCATAATATAATCTTTAAAAGTTTGATTGAAATCGCAGGCAATAATCGTATAAGTCGTTCTTTAGGTTGCATTATATTTGTGGCTTCTTTACCTTTATGAGGATCCTATTGAAATAAATAACTCATTACTTTTATGGTATATTGCTGACAAAAGTGAATGCTTTATTACTTTGAAAGGAGGTATCACTTCTAATCTTCTCAGTCTTCGATGGATTGTTATTTAATAAAAAATATTCATCTTCTACCTTCATATTGTACATAGCTTTTTTCATTTGTTTTTCTTTGAATACCATAGAGCTACTATTTTCAATATAGTTCTAGAGACCAAACCAGACTTTAGTGCTGAACAAAGTGGGCTCATTAAATAACACCTTAAGCTTAAAAAATGCGGTTCCCATTCACATAGAAAAGATGAGTCCCATGTTAATAGATGAAGGATGACCTAATTATTAATTTTCATTAGTTAAAAAAATTATTGAATTAGTTAAAAAAGAATTTTTCATGATACTCTTTCGAATCTTGATTGTATTTATAATGTAATTCGGTTCTTTTATCCTTCATATTCCGAATAAGATTTATGTGATACATCCCCAACTGAAGTTGTTCTTACAAACATAGCTTGATAATCAAGTACTTTGCGCAATGATTTTTGATATGGAACTTGGTTTTAATGGATATCTCCTTTCATTGAACAATTATCAGAAGGTGGTAGATTCCTTATTACACATTCATGTATCTTTAGACTCAAAAATATGAACCCATTTATCACACTATCGAGCCTTGTGAAGAAGTGAGGCCTTTGACATGAAACCAAATTTCATATCTATAAGCATAAGATACCTATGATGCCTTAGGTCCTAGAATTATTTGCATACTACAAGCAGAAACATTGTAACGTTTGACATATGGTAAGCGTTAATACGTTTAAGCTTCTTGGACGGTCAGTGTTCAGTGAACTTGTCCAACATACAAGCACATGTATATTCACCACGTGTCCAACACGCGTAGCAAGAGACCATGTTGGCCTTAATGCGATATACACCGGCCTTTCCAATATCAAGTTGACTTTCCAAATGGCTAGAAACTTTTTTTAAGGACTAACTGATTATAAAAATACAAGTACCCTTGCCCTAACCGCATTTGGGACATTGCTTCCGTACCTTAAATCCTACAAACTCATTCATAGCGTATTATCTCTATAATATAAAGCTCAAACTCATGTACGAATAATACTCGCTCTTTTATTAATTAATTAATATAGAATTGTTACATAAGACAATTCACTGATTACAGAGTTGATTTTGAATTAAGTTACAATAATTAAGCAGTAAGTAATCTAAAAAAAGAAAAGAAAAAAAAAAGGAATAGTATTTTATCCAGAAAGTACACATGGGAGGTGAAAGTGAGGGTATTGGAGTATAAAACGGGAAAAAGAATCATTATATAGGAAGAGGAGAGAGTAAATTGGATGGAGATAAAAGAATTACATTCCTGCAATTGGGATGACTGATGCATAATAACAACTGACTCGAACTTTAAATAAAAAGTTCGTGTTTGGATAAGCATCGAGGGATCATTTCCCTTTACATTTGCATGGCTAAAAAGCTAATTTATATGCATTTTAATCCTTCCAAAGGATGTTATAGCTAGAGGTGATAAATTAACCTATTGAATTGTTAATGGGTACTCATTACGACTCATTTAATTTAATAACATCATAATATAGAGGTGAGATTGAAATTGGTGATGGTGGTGTAAGGTGAAATCAAACTAAAATAGGTCTCATTTAAGCACAAATTAGTGTGATACAACTATCTTATCCTTCAGTTATGCTTAGTTGTTTAGCATCTACTTATCATGATCACTGGCGAATTTATGATCCAAATTTTGGAGCATTTCAGTGTTAAAGTATAAGTTTTTTAGATAGAAACAGAGTAGCGCATCAAAAAATTTCAGTTTATCATTGAGAAATTTTGTCGAACCCTTGGTGAGCTTATTGTCGTCAACTAAACCATCTTGCACTCATATTAACAGATATCAACGTATGTCGAAGTAATATGCTGAGTGATATCAAGAGAATTTATCGAGTGTTGTTGACGCAACTTATCCAGATATGTCTAACAAACATTACATGAGCAACTTGATAGGCACAAAATGAATCTGTACCAAATATTAAGGGGGTCTTATGAAGACTTTCAATGTATTTTTTTTCAAACTTTGGATAATCCTGAGACTACCTTAGTCCCAATGTACATCTGTCATTGACCACGATATATATGACTATTGATTTATTTGAGACTGTTCTTAGAGAACTAAAGCGCTTTATGATAGGCAAAAACTCTTTTAAACGAGTTTGAATAAAAATTTTAAAGCGTTTATAAGTTTCAAAAACTTTGTCTTGAAAAGCGGAGGGCATATGCTTCTTTAGAAGGTCATGAACTACTTCCAGGTGCTTCTATACGAGTCTCTAACTCTCTAGCAACTTCCGGGGTACTTCTGTATGAGTCTCTAACTCTATGTCAAAAATGGATTAAGTTCACTTTAAGTCTTCCGAACACGTATTGTATTGACAGTTACAGAAATTATTAATTTGACCAATCAACATTTACTAAACCGGCTTTCACATCCATAAAATGCTCCCTTTCATATATGCTTTGATAACGCTCATGTAAAATGTCTATTTAAGAAAATCCCGTATCAATGTCATGCGACCAATACTTTGTTTATTTCCCACTTATTCCACACTAACACCGGACTAGCTCCCTCCCATTTTTTTTTTCCTTTCGAAAGATAAGTATTATTAAACTCGAATCACAATGTTTATATCAAAAGTCAGAGTATTGAACAATCACTTTGGTTAGAAGAATCTCATGCATGAACACCACCTATACAAGAGACAAACGAAGTCAAGCTGTGCTGCTTTATTACAACTTCGGGGAGCAAATATAAACTCTACTGACCTCAATTGCATTTGCACACACTTAATGTCAAAGAGAAGATTTTCGATAACAACGTTTGGTTCTATTGTTCCGTTGATCATATTCACAAGCCCCTTAGAGTCCGTTTCCACTTGAATCACATCAATCCCATTCGTTCGAGTTTGATTTTCTCTCTCTCTTTCTAATTCAAAATAGCTTATCGCTTGCCTTTTAATTTTTTTTTTTTTAAAAAAAAATCCCTAATTCGGAACTGTCAGAAAATTATCATAGCAGTTGCCAAAGAAAATATTATTGTGTAATGAAATAAACTTAAAGCCTTTTGGTCTACAATGGTGATTGGAGATGTGCACTTTATAGCATTAAACAATTAATATGAATATTAATAGAATCATATAAAGATCTTTGTGATATATATATATAGAGACAAATGATAACATTAGTAAGCTAACTTGTTAAATGTTAAGAGACAGATTATCAATAAGGATTGAACCCGCATCAGAGTGCAAATAGAATATGTTCATCACAATGCTAATTCTTCTTCTAACTTTGTATTACAGAAATACAAACAAAACAAATGTTAGATCCATATATAAGTTATTTGATGGAACACAATACGTGTGCAAGATGATAGTCTATTACGTAAGATTGTATTTCATTAGACTCCTTAGGCCTTGTTTGATCTCTAGATACTCACAGGAATAGATAATTTATAAAATTCAAGGTCTGTTGAAAATAGATGTGGATGAATTTTCATTTCAAGGGTATTAAACGTAAAGGAAATTTTGCTCTTTTAATCATCTCATTATGTCAGAAATTGGAACAGATAAGTTTCCTTAATAACTAATTCAGTTTCAATTTTTAAGTTGAAATGTATAAACCTACCTTAAAATATAGTTTGGTATTCATTCCAGTCTAATCTTGTACATTAGCAGTATATAAAGTCACGTTGTCCCGTACATTAGCGTTGTACAAAGTCACTTAGTAAGAGATCTTAAGTTCAATTCTTATGCGTTGTTAATTTGTAACTAAGTTACTATGACAGAAATATTATATGATGGTAGCTCAATCTTTTACCTCTTAATATAAATATATTGTTGTAAAAATTACAGAAATTCCTTAATTCTTAATTCATCTTGGCCTAATGGTCATACAAACAAACACATTAATCAGTCCATGCTAAAAAGTAAAGTAAAACCAACGAACCAAGTTAAAAAGAAGAAGCCCTTCTTTCCCTGCCACTCCGTCTCTCCCCCCATATCCCAGTGAAAATCCCAAAATTATGGGCGTCTGTGCTTCCACTCCGACCTGCACAAAAAGCAGAGGAGGAGGAGCACCGCGACCAGATGCGATCGGACGGCCGACAAGCAGCATAGTGATCGACGCGGACGGTCGGATGCAAGAGTTGAAGCGACCAACCCAATCAAAGCACATCACTTCCCAGAATCCGAATCATTTCCTCTGCAACTCCGAAACCATGTCCATCGGCACGTGCTTGACCCACGTGCCCGACGAGGAGGAGCTCCAGGCGGGCCAAATTTACTTCCTGCTGCCACTGCGTCAGACCCAGAAGCCCCTCTCTCTGCCGGACCTCTGCGATCTGGCCATCAAGGCCAGCTCTGCGCTGGCCAGAGACGGTGGTCGCCTAACTTCAGAGCTCAAATTTCCCTGAATTTTTATTTTTTGGATATTAAGTTTTTTTTAATTTTTGTGATCGAATTCAGTGATGTAGTGAAACACATTTTGACATCTTGCGATGAGAAAATTGGTGACCATTTTTCTATTTTTCCCGCATCAAAAGCCGGCTGTGTATGCAAGAATGAGGCAGGCATTATTTGGCAAGGGGGAGGCTTGCATGTGGGCACAGGCCCAACACAGTTGAGTTATTTGGGCCTGAGCCATACTAAACTAGGCCCGAACTTACATTGATAGATAAGTTGTGCAAAAATAATGTTCTCTAGTTCGGAAATATTTTTGTACATAGCAATTAAGTGGTAGTGATGCTTCTAATTCTATTGATAATTATTAGATGAATTTAAATTTGAAATTTGTGTAATAGTAGATTAAATCAAACTCGTTCTAAATCAAATTAATCTAATATTAATCGAAGGGGTGGTGAGCAAAAATGTATTATACAAGACTTTTATTTTTTGAGTACATTCGATATGCTACACTAAGAATAGGAAGAAGAGTTTGAACTCGAGGCGCAGTTAGAGGAAAGCCCAAACCACTAGATCAATAAAAAACAGATTGTGCAAGACTTTCATTTTTTCTTAAAGACATGACGCGTTTTAAATAACATGTCATAATTCAATAAGAGTGCGGCGTATTTTCTACGTCATTTATTGATCTCTTATGCATCAATACAAATTCATGCATCTGCGGAGGTTTTAAAAGCGACCACCATCACAAGGTGGTTGTAGTGTAGGTTATAACGCCGAAGCTATAAATTCAGGTCACGTTTCCACGAGGCGGATGACTTCCATAGCCATTAGCCACAGATAGAAGTCAACGTGCACACGTGCATTGACGTGGGAAATTTATGTAAGTTTGGTGAATTAGGGTACGAACATGCTACACCGACTCTTGAATCAATTTACTATTCAATCTTTAACCTACTCCATCGCTGGGATTTTCTTGGATGAACAATCAATACTCCTTTTGAATTTTGATTAAAAGGAATATACCATGACTTATTCGGCGGCGAGACTCGATAAGATTTTTTATTTTTTATTTTTTATTTTTTTGAACGAACAATATTATTTGTACATTAACGGAGATGAGGTGGGTTAAGCATCAGGGCTAGCAATAATGTGGTCAAATTCTCATTTGGCGAGAATTGAACTTAAGACCTCTCACTTATAAGTGGATGAATATCACTAGACCGTATTACTAAATGGCGAGACTGGATAAGATTGAAGTTGAGTACAAGTTTAGTCCTATGGAGTCTCACCGCTCTGGATGAGACTTGTAAATCACTTAAGTTGGATTGTTGTCCAACTCAACTAGTTTAGAATCAACAATTATAAGTTAACAAAACAACAAACATGACATTAATTTTAGGGGTGTGATATCCACACACCCCATTTTACTTCTTACACATCCCTTTAATTTTTGGCCGTCGGATCGGATGAATTGAAGAAGATCAACGAACATAAATTATCAAAGAGTGTGTGAGAAGTACAATGGGGTGTGTGGATAGCACACCCCTAATTTTAATCCAATTGAATTGAAATAATTTAGTGCTGCCCGAGCACCAAACCCTAATCTTAAAGGGATTAATATACAAATGAGAAGAACATCACATTTCAGGAAATTAATTTGACAGAAATGCATAAGGCCGTTTGAAGGTGATTGTGGAGTGTCAAAATCATCACCCTTATCATATTCGTGTTTGCCATGTGGTCGCATTTTATGAAAAGGGCAAACCAAACATCACTTGATTCACTTGTTCCTTCCACCAATTCAAAAAAATGTTACTATATAAGTAACAAAGATTGATATCAAATAATCATAGCACATCAAATAATCATTAAGAAAAAAAAAAGGCCCAATATACATTGGTTATAGTAGTAGCGCTAGTGACTCTAGTCAGAGGGGGTGTTAAGGAGGAGCGAAATGTGCAGTCGCACAGGACTTCAGATTTGAATGACCCCTAAATTTTTGCCATTTAACATTACGTAATAATGTTCTATATTTTAAAAAATTGCTTTTGTTAGCATTTTAAAATCAAATTGTGCATTCCGTATTAGAGATTTTTTTTCTCTTTCTAAATATAAAAACTTGAGTGGCTCCGAGTCCAAGTACAACTCCAACCAGCTATGGTCGGCTGCGCGGTCACGGCCGATGATGACACCTCGCTTGGCTGTGGAATCCTGGGTGGCGGAGAAGTAGTACTATAACCACGACAACAACTCCTGTGCGCCGAATCATGAGTCGTTCGTATACGCAGGTTGTGTGGAGAAATTCTTCGGAGTTGGGGTGTGCTGAGGCCACGTGCGTCAAGGAGTAAACTAGTTTAACTCTTTTTGTTTTTATAATCCTCCAGCGAACTTAACAAGGGCAAATCCCCTGTTAGCAGGGGCCAGGAGGGGTTAGGTTAGGTGTCACAGATAGTCTGATATTAGGGCCTCATGTGCCACTAATTAAATAAAGTAAAAAGTTGGATGCCAAATCTTCTGATTCTAGCCTCTGATGCGATAATTAATATGTACTCATTCCTATAAGCTTGATTTATATTATTTGGCCCCTCGCCTCACACTTTAGGACTTTAGGGTTAATGATTTTTTAACATGAGATCAGAATCTTTTTGCAAGTCGTCTTAAGTCCAATCCTGAGTTCTTTGTTGGTTGCCTATGTTTGTCTCATTAATTTGACAAGTTCAATTCTCGTTCTCCATGTTGGTTTATTTGTAAAATTCAGTGTGAAAGTTGAGTAGCATCCTCTCTACGCAGTGGCATACCCAACATTTTCAACTTTCAAGTAATGAGGTCATAATATGAACCAAAAAGTTTTATTGGATCATTACGTTGAGCACCTAGTAGGCACCTGCCAATTTCTGTCAACATGTGCCGAAAGTTTATGTCAACATATGTCGTCAACCACTATTATTTGTAAAGGCTTGTCATGGGCAGATGCAAGATATACAGTGGAGTAATGTTGAAGACTGTCAAGACTTTTCAACTACAGTATTTCATACAAGAGAGAGAAAAGGAAGTCAAATATGATAAGAAAAATAGAAGAAATAGGAGGATGAGGTTGTGATTTAGTTTGTCTTAGTTGTTTGTAGGGTCAAATACAACCAATGATCTCATGCTGACTCCACCACTGTCTCCACGTACAAAATACTCCAACTTGGTTAATGATTGTCCAACAATTACTACCAATTATTATGATGACCTACCAATTAGCATGTCAATAAGAAGTTATGTGTTCAATTAATACAGTTATATACTTTCAACAGTACTCTCACAAAGAAGGGCAAACTAGTAAGTTAGTAGCTCCACTCCATATCCTTTCACCAACACAGTCTCTCTCTATAAATAACTATACACAACAACTAAATATTTGATCACTTCAAACACCAGATCAAAGATCAAATGGCTCATCATCATCCCTTGCTAGTCCTAGCAGCCCTGGCTATAGCCATCAGCTCTGTCCATGTTGCAGCGGCTCAGGCGCCAAGCTCCAACCCTTCAGCCAGAGAGTACCTCCAAGCTCACAACCAAGCCAGAGCCGCAGTGGGTGTAGAGCCGCTCAAGTGGAGTGAGTCATTGGCCAATGCAACAAGCAGGCTAGTGAGGTACCAAAGAAACAACCAAGCCTGCAACTTTGCTAACCTCACCAGTGGCAGCAAGTATGGAGCCAATCAGCTGTGGGCAAGTGGGCAGTCAGTGAGTCCAACCATGGTTGTGGACACTTGGGTCAAAGAGAAGGACTTCTACAACCACAGTGGAAACTCTTGCGTGCCAAATCACAGGTGTGGTGTGTACACCCAGGTGGTGTGGAGGAAGTCTTTGGAGCTTGGGTGTGCTCAGGCTACATGCGTCAAAGAACAGAGCAGCTTGAGTATTTGTTTTTATAATCCTCCTGGGAATGTTGTAGGGGAGAGCCCGTACTAAAGGAAAAAAAGAACTTCCCTGCACTGGGATGTTATTGTGGCGGAATCATAAGCCAATCACGCTACCTGTCAAGGTGGCATTCCAGGTGTAGGTAAGTTTTTTCGAACTTATTGAAGTTGAAGTTGAAGCTAATTTGGGTGTAGTTTTTGCAAGTGTTGGGATCTATGATGTTGAGGGATTAATTAGCAATAATATGTTGCACTTAGGGTGTTTGAAGTAAATTAGGCAAATGTATAAGGGTCTTTTGCTGCTAAATATGTAATGTAATCACTATGGTTCTTCAGATCTCCTTTCTGTGTGTTTGTGATTTGTTTTGTGTTTTTTGGGTTGCAGAATACAGCTGCATTTCTGTGATTATACTATAAGAAAATGGATTTGGGAGATCCAAGAAATATATGATGCAAAAACCAAAATTTGGAATTTGGATGATTCTTGTGATCCAAAAAATGGGCACACTGTACATTACATAAGAAAGAATTCAATTTCCACCGACACAGAAAACTGCTAATAAACACGTGACTCTCACGTGCAGAGTTCATTGACACATGAAATTGCAATCGATTTTACTATTAATAATGATGGTTTCAGGGAAACAAAAGATATATTTACAGTGCTAAAATGCACAATCTGAATTCCTTCACGACATCGCAGATACAAAATGCTGCAGGGTTACGCCCTTCTATTCTCTAGCCATCACTTCTTTCTACTTTGATTTTTCGGGGCTCATATTCTACTTTGTACAGAAGAGAGATGAATTCTTTACCATAAAAACCTTGACAACAATGCAGATTACATGAATGTATGGGACCCTATGCAACCGTTCACTTCACCAGCTCTTTAGAAATTAAATACCGAAATGTGAAGTTGTGAGGAATATACTCGATGCTCTTGCGGGGTTTCCCAAGCTGGCATTTCTTGACACTCTTCCTCAATGATTCAGGCAAAGTCTGTTGGATCATCTCTAAAACACCAACTGGACACAAACCCGAACTTTTTGCAAATGCCTCAACAATCTTCGGTAGAAGAATTTTGTGGTCCTTGCGCACTCCAA